GTCAAAAGCCAATTTTGTTTTCCATTTATACATAATTCCATATACTGTATTTTATGGTCTTACCTACACTCGTTGATACTAGGTCAGTATTTTTGAATCAGCAGGTGAACATTGAGTTCCACTATGGAAATGAAGCCTTAATCTTCAGCAGTTTTGTGTCTTCAAACATATTTTGCTGATTTTTTTTTTTTTTTTTTTGAGGCAAAGTTTAACTCTTGTTGCCCAGCCTGGAGTGCAATGGTGCGATCTCAGCTCACCATAACTTCTGCCTCCCAGGTTCAAGCGATTATCCTGCCTCCCAGGTATTATCAGCCTCCCAGGTAGTTGGGATTACACGCATGCACCACCATGCCCGGATAATTTTGTGTTTTTAGTAAAGACAGGGTTTCTCCATGTTGGTCAGGCTGGTGTTGAACTCCCAACCTCAGGTGATCCACCCGCCTTGGCCTCCCAAAGTGCTGGGATTACAGGCGTGAGCCACCACGCCTGGACCAAAAACGTTTTTATTTCACCATTGTTAGCCTGCTGTTAGAATGATTTGCTAGTGGGAACACAAAGAGCAATTCAAGTTAGGTAAAAGCACCATTAGGTAAGGTAAAAGCAACATTTATTTTAACAAATACAATGTGTAGGCAATAACACACATTGCCTAACATCCATGGTGCATAACATAGACTGGGAAATATGTTACTGTTCTCTGAGCATGGTTCATTGGTGTGAAACATACAAATACGTATGGAAATCTCAATTTAAGTTATATGTAGTTTTAGCTTAACTCATTGTTTGTAGTATAATTCATTCCCAATAAGAATTTGAGTATTTTCCAGATGAACAAATTGATGTGTGAATAAAGGATCTAAAACTGATATATTTCTTTAAAAAAACAATTTAATTTTGGAATATTCTTTACCTAAAATTTCTGATTTCTTAATCTTAAAATTGAATTTTGTTGAAGATTTAAAAAATAGACTGAGAATATCAGCAAATTTATAAAGACACAAATGACCTAGGACAATGGTCATAAAATGTGTTGCTGCTTGTTCCATCAATGAAATAAACACAGTTTGGTTTCAAAGTACATAAATATTTTAGCTTTCAATTATCTGGAATTGAGCTATTAGCATTTGAACTTTTATTGATATTTCTTCCACACATTAGCTAATAATCGCTAAATAAGGGGGATCTTGTTGGTGTTTCTAGACTATGAAAGTTCATAGAACTTTGTTTTATTGGCGTGTTCTAACAGTTTGAAAGGCAGTTTATTTGCAAATGGCATATAAGTCAGGAAAGGCATTAAACTAGAATCAGGGTTAGGACGACAGAAGAGGACAAGACCCTTATTGAGGTTTCCATTATTATTTTAGAAGTACTATAAATGATGAGGGCAATGGAGAGCCCCTTACTGACATGGAAGCACCAAGAATACCTCCCACAGTAGAATATAAATGATTTTTAGATTATTCACTTCTCATTAATCAGGATTTGATAATCACACAATTAGTTCACTTTTATAAATTAATAATTTCAAACTTTAGACTTTATTTATAATGATAATTTTTATATTTTTATTACTTAGAAAATAATTTATATTTTTCCATCATTTAAACAAAGAGTAGGCCTGAGTCTCATGCCTTTTGCACAGCTTTTACCTTCAAAGAAAGTTCTCTGGGTAAGATAGGCAGGGAATATAGGGAAACTGCAAATTAACAGTCTACATACATCTAATATGAACAGTCTGTAAGATATTCCTTTTCTTAAGTTTAACTGGGATTGCAACGGTAAGATTTGTTCTGGTATTCAACCAAAATAGACAGAATTGGGTATTCTGTTTTTAGGAAGTAAATACTTTCTTGAACATAATATGAGAAAATTTCTTCGTTCATCAGATGAAGACTAATATAGATATATCCCTGTACAGAGCTACTGTCTTCATCTTTTATTGACAGCCAAACCAGGTCTTATATAAATGACAAAAAATATTACAGCTAACAAAAGCAAAAGTGGTGCTTTTATCAAGGAAACCATATTTTAAAGGTTAATTTAGATATATAACTGGAAAGACGTTTATTAGCATGCTGAAAATAACACTGATGACACTCAGAATATACCTGGTCTTTTACTTAACAGAGAACCATGGCATCCAGGTAACCAGTTCCAACTTTTCCTACCATTGATTTTATGGTTTTCTAAACAATTATCTTTTTCCCTAGGTGGGCTAGAAACTCCTTCATTTGAAAGACCTGAGTTTATTTAATGGCACCTATAAATAGGCTCATATAAAAATGTAGTAAATTGCAACAAATACATTGGCACCACAGGAAGTAAGCTCTGGATTTGGATGTGAACATAATAATATTGCTGTCACCTAAAAGGGGGAGAACTCTACTGGCAGAAAATGTCCCTTAGCATCCTTTGAGATGTACTGGGTGTGTACGAAACACACACACTTGGTGGATCTTCATCCATTTATTTATCCCAATTGACTTCTAGCTGTAATAGTAATTTATTTTTAAAGAAAAATGTATCAGTCTTCCTGGATTGATGAACACAGTTCTGGAATGAAGATGTTCTAATTGCTTTGGCCACTATTATTCCTCTTATTTCCTGTACCTTCAAACAAAACAAACAAACAAAACCAGGCAGTTTGCTGAGACTTCCACTGTAGTAGCCAAGATGACCCGCTAATTGAACTATACAGCTTTGATGAAACTGCCAACAGACTGTGATGGGCTTCCAACTGTCCTGCCAGTCCACCCACTCCAAACGTAGCTTTATGTTCAATTAATATTTATGTTAGAGATGGACAGGATTTGGAAGATGGGAAAATATTGGCTTTGTTAAGTAATTAGACGCAAGGGGTATGAGAAGATAAATGCTTTTTTCCCCCTTCTCTTAATTGCAATGAAAGGAAAATAGTTAAATTCACTGGCAAAATTTGACTCATAGTAATTTTTGCAAACATAGAGACACACAGGCAAAACTAAGGAAATGAAAACAATTAGGTAAGTTCTAAAAAATGAAGACCTGGTGTTAATTCAGAAATCTACTGAAATATATTTTAATTATTTAGGTAGAGGCTGCATCCACTTGATCCTTTTTACATTTTCCTACTTATTGGAGAATTTGCCTTGAAACCATGAATATTTTTTGTTGTATTGTCTTTGCTTTATCTTTTAAAATGCCGTGAATTACTGTAAAATAATGCTTTGAAAGGGGAGAGTACAATATCCATTTATGAGAAACAAAAGTATTTTTAATGTAAACATTCCTTTCTACTACATCAGAGAAAATAAAAACTGGAAATCACAATCAAGGTTTGCTTGTTTAGATAATGAGTAGGTCTATATATAGTACTGAAGGAAGAATCATAACCAAACAGTGTGGGAAAGAAATGGACACCAACTATAAAAATATGGTATTGGCTAACAGTCTTTCATCTGGGAGATATGGACCCAGAATTCATTCAGTTAGCAAAAGTTACTAGTGAAAAAAACATTCTTTGCAGCATCCTCATTTAATTGGCAAAAAAAAAAAAAAAAACTAGATCAGATTATCATTTAAATTATAATAGGTAGATGATTGGCTGTCCATCGACCTCCATGCAAATGAATCATCATTCTCTTACTGGGCTTGGAGAGAACTACAATGTATAAAAATGGTGATTAAAGTATAACTTTATAAAAATGTTTCCCTTTTCCTTTTTTAAAAAAAGAGTTTACTATCTACAGAAACAAAAAAATCTTCATATTTACATCAAGATAACTATCATGACATATATAATATTATGAAATAAAATATTGAAAGTGAGTATCAACTTTTTAAATAGAGGTTTGGCTCACAGCATAAACAAGTGTAGATAACAAACAAACCAAAACAAAACAAACAAAAAGACTTTCAATAATAACCCGATCCTCAAACAATCTCTCTATAATCTCCCCTGCCAGAAGAAGCATGACTGACAATGGGCCAGATTGCTGATGGAGGCTACCCCGACAAAATGACTGACAATGGGCCAGATTGCCGATGGAGGCTACCCCGACAAAATGACTGACAATCGGCCAGATTGCCGCTGGAGGCTACCCCGACAAACAGCGTGTGGATACCACAACATGGGTTGTCAGCGGGACCTTTGCTCCTGAAAGACAAACTACAACAGTTGCCAAGAATCAGGCTTTAACTACATCAACACGAAAACCCTGGGTTGTAATAATCTCCTTCCTCTCTTGCTATATAACCCAGAGTGATTTTTCTGTTTCCTTTTCTTCCTCTACCACACATTTTGCAGCAAATTAAGAAGACACAGGCGATCATGCTGAAGTACAATTTCCCAAGCCTTCTCTGGCATCATTTAGAATTCAAACCTGACTGAAAGACCTGACTCCAGCTCTTTCGTAGGTGTTTATGGATAAAGAATGCCATCCCCTTAAATGGTGATTTGATCTCAGTTGAGTGACATCCATAATCACAGACAGCTGCTATACATTCATTAGGCAAGTAGACTGGAAAATGCCTCAGTCTTCCAGGTTTGAGGCTGGTGATAGAGCTCCTTCAAGTGGTGCATAACAGTAATGTAATACCAAACATGTGGCCCTCTCACCCAGCCCTTCAGTGCCCTCCATCTGCAAAAGGCCCTTTATTTGAAGCTAAATGGAGGAAGGCATTTGGAATGGCTGCCTCCCAAAGACACTCCACAGTGAACTTCCTTCTGTTTGTTCACATATACTCAGTCATTTGCTACAGCTATTCTATGAGTTACTGAAACCACAAAAATCTCTTTACATATGCACACACATGCACACAAGCACCCTTTCAAACCGTTCCCTTCTGTCTCACACACACACACACACACACACACACACACACAGTGTTGGCAGGATGTATCAGAATTCAAATAATGCTCTGGAACTTTCATCCCTCAGTACTAAGAGCAAAAGCTGCTTAGTTGGTAACCTACATTTCTTGCACTGTTTCCTTGCTAAGCCACACCATCTCCTTTGTGATTTGGTTTCCTTTATGATTTATTATATCACAGTGACCACTATATATCTTAATATAAATGTTACTAAATTGTGGAGCCAGCAATCCTGGCCTTCAGTGTGTATGTGTGTGCGTGCATGGGTGTGAATATGTTTTACATGTATCTATGTGGGAGCTTATATACACACACACATATATATTCCCTCCTTAAAAAATCCTTAGAAGCTGGTGTTGCAACGTGAAAGCTTCTTTGAGCAAAAAGTTTTTAACAATGTACCTCACTGTAAAAATATACACACAAAATGCGAAGAATCCCAAAATGCAATAGCCATTTGCCCATCTTCTCAAATTTCTACAGTGTTGTGTCTAAATGTTGTGCTGGCTTGAAGAGAGTCTTTGACAAGTCAATCTGTTTGGAAACACAGCCCATTCTATCCATTGTCACTGATCTGGCTTTGGGGTTGGTATCTCCTCCCCTCTTGGTTTCCCTTTCTCTTCTTCCTCTTCCTTGATAGCCTGGATCTGTTCTGAAGAGTGCGATTGAGGGGTCGGGTCCAGGGATTGATTTTCGACACCTGCCAACCGTTGCTCCTCTTCAATGACTTTCTTCCACATCTTGTGGTTCTGTAAGAGGTGCTGAGTTATTTGGCAGTAGATTTTTCTCCTTTTGAAAGTCTTCTTTTCTAAAATAAATAAAATAAAATGCACCAAATTAGACTACTTAGTTGTGTGCTGAGCACACAAATGTTATCTCTTTTAAGATAATTAAGAGGAATTAATCCGTAACCTTGGTTTGTATATTACAATAATGCAGTTTTGGAGAATGGGGAAGAAAGAGGAAAATGGCAATAATCATTAAAATATCACTCACAAATAACTAGGGATGGTATTTAATATTTGGCAATGTCCAGAGCAAGATTCTGCTTCTATCTTGGTGTTATTCTCATTACATTCAGGCTCTCAAGGCTTTTTACATAGATCATTGAAATAACTTCTTGTTATGTGAGTCTCTGTCAGTCAATTTAATTCACAAACATCTACAAGACTGATATATTTAAAGATGGTTCTGATGTTCCTCATCTGCTTCATGTGTACTAAAATATTAATTTCAGGCTGGGCGCGGTGGCTCAGGTCTGTAATCCCAGCACTTTGGGAGGCTGAGGCGGGCGGATCATGAGGTCAGGAGATTAAGACCATACTGGCTAACACGGTGAAACCTCGTCTCTACTAAAAATACAAAAAATTAGCTGGGTGTGGTGGCGGGCACCTGTAGTCCCAGGTACTCGGGAGGCTGAGGTGTGAACCTGGGAGGCGGAGCTTGCAGTGAGCTAAGATCGTGCCACTGCACTCCAGCCTGGGCAGAGAGCAAGACTCCATCTCAAAAACATAAAATAAAATAAAATAAAATAAAAATTAATTTCAAAATATAGTTAACTATACTTTACCCTGCTTTTTAAATTTTTAAAACATCTACACTGAACTCATATTTTCAAGCTGGTACTGCCTATCCTTCTGAAATGTTCTTTGCAACCACTGAGAGTATATATCCATTCATTTTTTAAGACTCCATCAGATTTCACTGAATTCTTCTAAGAAATAATCTCTTTCTTCTAAATTTCTATGTTACTCCATATATGCCTCCTAGAGTATATACTGTTTCTGTTTTTATTTTTTCCCTTTTGTTCTCCTTATTATCTCTTCTTCTGGTAACTGCGCATCCAAAATCATTTAGAGAGAACGTTTCCCCCTCCCTTCAATTATGTGGTTCTAGAAAAGGTTATTAAACTCTACTTCCTCACTCACAACCGGTCTACAAAATTGTATCACAGTGACTGGCCAATAGTTGCGTGGGTGACCCAAGTTGGGCCTGAGTCCTTCCCTGAGATATTTCCTATTTGCACATAATGAATATGGGTTTGAGAGGTGTAATTGGAGATCCTTTCTCCTTTGCTTATGCATCTGGAATGAAGTGAACTTGGAGCTGGCTATAGTTCCAGCCTCATGAAGAAAGCAAGGCTGAAAGAACAAGCTGTTAGGCAGGTGAGGCAGAGACAAAAGCAGGAACAAATAAGCACTGCTAATAGCCAACATCAAGTTTACATGAACCAATAATGTTCACTTTTTGTATATCCTCATTCCATTGGAATTTTATAACTTGTAACAAAAAAAAAAGTTCTACCTTAGTATACCTCCTTTAAGAAACTAATCTTGGGCCAGGTGTGGTGGCTCACAGCTGTAATCCCAGCACTTTGGGAGGTCGAGGCGGGGGCATCATGAGGTCAAGAGATCGAGACCATCCTGGTTAACACAGTAAAATCCCATCTCTACTAAAAATACAAAAAATTAGCCGGGCGTGGTGGCAGGCACCTGTAGTCCCAGCTACTCAGGAGGCTGAGGCAGGAGAATGGTGTGAACCCGAGAGGCGGAGCTTGCAGTGAGCCAAGATCGGCCACCGCACTCCAGTCTGGGTGACAGAGTGAGACTCCGTCTCAAAAAAAAAAAAAAAAAAAAAAAAAGACACTTATCTTGGCATCTTCAAGATGGTAGGCTAGAGACATCTGGTACTTGCCTCCTCTGCAGAGAAGAACCAATGGACTGAGTAGGTAATCACACTTACCATCTAAAATATAATTTTGAATTCAACAGAGAAATGACAGGAAATACCTAAGATAAGGAAGAAGAAAAACAATTCATAATATGAATGAGAAATTTACTAAAGAGACAAGTATCATGAAAAGAAAAAAGAGGAACCAAAGAGAAATTCTGGAATGAAGAATTCACTGAAAGAAATACATATACATTCAAAAGTTTTAACAATAGACTAGATCAAGTTGAAGAAAGAATCAGAATTTGAAGATGGGTCTTTTGACATAACCCAGTCAGATGAACATTAAAAACATAAAAAATAAAAATAATGAACAAAGTTTGCATGACATATTTGAATTTTCAGTGTCCCAGAAGGTGAAAAGAAAAAGAAAGGGACAGAAAACCTGTTTAACAAAATTATAGGTGAAAACTTCCCAAGTCTAACAAATAGACATTTAGACATCTAGATGCAGGAAGCTCAGAGAAACTCACAAAAATACAATTCAAGGTCTTCTCCATGGTGCGTTGTAGTCAAACTGTCAAAAGTCAAAGACATAAAGAGTTCTAAAAACAGCAAAAGAAAAGTATCTGGTAACTTATAAGGAAACTTCCATCAGACTAACAGATTTCTCAGCAGAAATCTTTCAGGTCAGAAGATAATGGGATAATATATTCAAACTGCTGAAAGAAAAAAACATATACCCAGCCAAGTTATCCTTCATAAATGAAGGAAAAATAAAGTCTTTTTTCACAGAAGCAAAACTCAGAGAATTAATCACTACTAGACCAGCACTACAAGAAATACCTAAGGAAGGCCTACATGTGAAAGCAAAAGGATGATATCTATCATTATGAAAACACTTGAAAGTGTAAAACCCACTGGTGGAACAAACATGAATAAGGAAATGAAAGGAATCAAATGTTACCACTACAGAAAACCACCCAACTGCAATGATAAACAATGAGAGAGAGAGAGAAAGGAACAAAAGATATACATAACAATTATAAATCAATTAACAAAATGACAAGAATAAGGACTCAGATATCGATAATCACCTTGAGTGTAAACAGACTAAGATTTCCACTTACAAGACACAGAATGGGTGAATTGATTAAAAAACATGACTTATTTATGTGCTAAGAAACTCATCTCTCCTGTAGACAGATACAGACTAGAAGTAAAAGAAAAGACAGATATAGACTAGAAGTAAAAGAAAAATATACTTCATGCAAACAGAAACAAAAAACAATCAAGAGTAGCTATACTTATGTTAGATGAAACAGAAATTAAGTCAAAACAGTAAAAAGTGGACATAGTCATTATATAATGACAAAGAGATCAATTCAGTAAGAAGATAAAATAGTTCTAAACATATATGCACTAACACTAGAGCACCCAGATACTAAACCTGATCTTAGCCGAGAGGCTGAGAAGCAATATCGCACCCAGATATATGCAAAGCAAATATTAATAGATCTAGAGAGACAGAGAGACACTTCAACACAAAAATAGTTGAGGACTTCAACATCCCACTCTCAGAACTAGACAGCTCATCTAGACAGAAAATTAATAAATAAACATTGGATTTAAACTGCATTTTAGACCAATGGACCTAATAGATATTTACAGAATGTTTGTTGAACAGCTACAGAATACTCATTGTTAGCACATGGAATTATTCTCCAGGATAGACCAGATGTTAGGACACAAAACAAGTCTCAACACATTTTTAAAAAATCTAAATCATATCAAGTTTCTTGTTAGACCACAATGAATAAAACTAGAAATCAATAAAAAGACAAACTTTGAAAACTGTATAAATACACGAAAATTTGTTCCTGAATGACCTTTCGGTTAAAGAGATAATTAAGGAATAAATCAATAAATTTCTTGAAACAAATGAAAATGGAAACAACACAAAGTGGTAGTCAAAGGGAAGTTTAACACAATAAATACCAACAACAAAAAACTAAAAATATTTCAAATAAGCAACCCAATAATGCACCTCAAGGAACTTGAAAAGCAAGAACTAATTAGACCATGAATTAGTAGAATAAAATAAATAATAAAGATAAGAAGAGAACTGAATACAATAGAAAATTAAAGACACAATGTATCTAGGAAACAAAAAGTTGGTTTTTTGAAAAGATAAACAAAATGAGTAAGTCACTAGGTAGACTAACCAAGAAAAAAGTGACGGCCTCCAAAAATAAAATCAGAAATGAAAAAGGAGACATTATAACGGATACCATAGAAATACAAAAGATTATCAGAGATTATTATGAACAAGTATGTATTAGCAAACTAGAAAACCTAGATGAAATGGATAAATTCCTGGAAAAATATACCAAAATTGAATCAGGAAGAAATAGAAAACCTGAACAGACCAATAATAAGTACTCACATTAAATCAACAATAAAGACTTCCAACAATAAAAAGTCTACTACTGGATGACTTTGCATAAAAATGCTTTTTCTTCATCTATCCTCTCAATAGATACAGAAAAAGCATTTGATAAAATTCAACATCACTTTATGATAAAAACTAAAAATACTAGGAAGGAACATGCCTCAACATAATAAACACCACACATAATAAAACCATAGCTAATATTTGAATGTGGAAAGTTGAAAGCCTTTCCTCTAAGAACTGGAAAAGGACAAGATGCTCACTATCACTGCTGCTATTCAAAATTGTACTAGAAGCCCTACTCAGAGCAATCAGGCATCCAAATTGGAAAAGAGGAAGTTAAATTGTCCCTCTTTGTAGATGATATAGTCCTATATCTAGAAAAACCTAGACTCCACCAAAAAACACTTAGATCTGATAAATACATTGAGTAAAGTTGCAGGACACAAAAATTAATATACAAAAAATCAGTAGTATTTCTATACACCAATGATGAACTAGCTGACAAAGAAATTAAGAAGGCAATCCCTTTTACAATAGCTAAAAAAGTAATAACTAGAAATAAATTTAACCAAGGTAGATAAAGACCTCTACATGGAAAACTACAAAAATCTGATGAAACATGTTGAAGACAACACAAACAAATACAAAGACATTCCATGATCACGGATCTGAAGTATTAACAT